TTAATTTGCAAGATGGCGCCGTGCCAGCCTGTTGCAGCAGCTCCCTCTGTGTGTTTTAACTTTAGTCTTTTTCACTCTTTCCTCTCTACTTTTTACTTTTCCTTTAACTACACACTGCTACACTGTTGTTTGCTGGGGTTGATTGTTCAACTCTTCATTTCATTACATTTCTATTTTATTTTAATTGCATTGTTTCTTTGTCTTATTTGAGCTCGCAGGTCGTCTGTGAAACACGTTGAACTGAACTAACCTGTATAAAGGTGACACTAACACACTGATAAAGGTTCATTGATTGACAGCATGGACGTTTAGAACTCACACACTTCAACAGTAGAAAGTAAAGAGTAGACAAAGTCTGAAAAAAAGGTTCTCACTGTGAAGTTGGTTCAATTGGTTCTCACACACATACACACACACACGTACACACACACACACACACACACACACACGCACACACACCATCAGTATTTGAGTCAGATCAGATGTTTCAGTTGGAGTGAAACCACCACGAGACCACCAGGGGGCAGCAGAACTGAGTGTGTGTGTGTTTTGAGTGTTTGTGAGTGTGAGTGTGTGAGTGTGTGAGTGTGTGTGAGTGTGTGAGTGTGAGTGTGTGTGAGTGTGTGCGAGTGTGTGAAAGAGAGAAAGCGAGAGCCAAAAGAGCAAAAAGAAGTATGCATGCATGATTGTGCAGACAAATGTGTGTATTTGAGCGAGAGCCAACCTTGTTAGTATGCTTGTGTTCGTAGGCCTGTCAGTGTGTGTGTGTGTGTGTGTTTGCGTATGTGTGTGTGTGTGTGTTTGAGTGTGTGTGTGTGTGTGTCCTGACAAAGGCTCCATCCAACCAGACTGCAGAGGGCTGCTTGTTCCCAGAGACTCTCAGAGCTCCAGGACGCCCAGTCTCTCTGCTGCCTGCAGCCCAGACACAGCAGCCCCAACACGGACACGGACCGCCACCCTGCCCCCTCCTCCTCCTCCTCCTCCTCCTGGAGCTCCAACGCCTGTTTGGATTACTAATGGACGGGACAAACAGAGTCAAGTTTTAAAGTGGGAAACTTTAAAAGGAGTGTTGGGAGTTTAAAAACCACAAGCCTGAGAAGAGAAGAGGAGACCTTCATCTTATCTGGACTACTAACTTATTGAAATCCAGTGGACGTCTTGACAAACAAGCGTATTTTCATCGTTTGGAAACTTGATGAAACTTTTGCAGAATTAAACCAACATTTTCCTGGAATTGTCTTTTCGTCACTTTCCAGGAGCTCTGAATCAAACCTGCATCTCACTGAAAGGTTTCGGAGAGTTTTGGCATCATCAGGTTGGTTGTTTTGTTTTCTAGTTTTGGGACTTTTTTGGAAAAATTTTCTGGAATTTGATTGAAGCTCAGCACCAAATTCTGTACAATTAAGCAGGAAAACAACCAATCCTGAGCGGTTCTGATTTGAATCTGCCGTCTTCTTCACGTTAAAGTCTTCATCATGGTCCCGTCTGTCGGTCTGTGGTTGTGTCTGAACCTGCCGCTGCTGTTCACGGACGCAAAGGGCGTCGGCCAACACGATGGTCAGAGCGACGCACTCGACCAGCCGTCCTCCCCCGTCAAATTGGAACCTCTTTGGGTCGCCAAGCAGCTCGGGACCGGGGACGCCCCCAACCAGAGAAGACCCCTCCCCGAGATGCTGGATCTGGACGTGGACAGGAACCGCCGCCGCCTGGCCCGCGGTGCCGACGAGGAGGAGCAACAGTCCACCTTCAGCCAGTCCTTCGAGAACGACACGGTGACAGCGCCGCAGCCCACCGAGTTCGACGACGGCACTACAGTAGGACCAGGGAGCGGCGATGGCACCAATCTCCACGGAAACATCTCCAGCTCCGACCACGACCCTCCGGGACTCTTCAACCCCTTCTACCCGTTGGTGGAAAGCTCGTACTCGGCCTACGCGGTCCTCTTCCTGGGCGGCCTGGTGCTGGCGGTGGGCGTGGTGGGAAACATGGCGGTCATGTGTGTCGTCTGGAACAACTACTACATGAGGTCCGCCTGGAACTACCTGCTGGCCAGCATGGCGTTCTGGGACTTCCTGGTGCTGGTGCTCTGCCTCCCCGTGGTGATCCTCAACCAGCTCTCCCATAGGAGGATCCTGGGCGACATCACCTGCCGTATGGTGCCGTATATGGAGGTGGGTGGAGCTTGTGTGGAAGTCGGAGGGGGGAGAGGAAGTCAGTGAGATTGGCTGAGAGTGATTTTTGTGTTTTTGTGGTATAAATACTTTAAATGTGTTGATGTGATTCGTCCTGGTAGCTCCAGAGGAAACAGAAAGGGTTCATCCTCTGAGAAGCCTGAAGATGTTCATCTCTGTGATGAACTGGTTGTTGGACTTTAATGATTTTGCACACAGGTGAAACGTTTGTTTTAAAGGTCAGGAGGTCATTAGATATCACGTCATCACCACACTACCATTATCAGCATCACTAGCACCTTCAAGTCAAAGAACTGGGTGTTTCCCAGTGTGAGTGTGTGGAAATGTCTTCATGTTAACAGACAACAGCTAAAGGACCGAAACACACGGCCATTAAATTAACATGAATTATATTTCATTTAGCAGAAGAAGTTCCTTCTTGATGTTGGAAACAGAGATAATTTATCCATCGTGGTTCATTTAGACTCTTTACTCACGAAGTCTCATAAAATGGTTACGTCAAGTTTATAGATTTGTAATTTAAGGATTCATTAAAACGATTAAAAGGATTAAAGACTTGTGGTATGTAAACATAATCATGACTTATTGTCTTATGTAATTTCCAGTGCTGGACAAGTTAGCGCGTTATTATCGCGTATATA